GGTGCCTGCAGCCTGGATGCGCTTGTTACTGGGTCAGGTGTAGTTACGTTAGTTAACCAACTAACCCCTATACTGCCACCACCACTTTTGTCGGAGACTGGGAAACTCCCGTTACTAAATATACACTTTAATGATTGAAATATTGGTCTATATAGCACGGCCCGCGGACCTGCTATACAGAGATATACAAACAGTAGCGTCTCTTCAAAGGCAGGGATTCGTGAATTGCAAGTAAGCGCTTAGAAACAGTTTAACACTTTCAGAAAGAAAGATTTATTACTAAAAGCGTTGGATGCAAAATAAATATGTACAAAGAGATATCACAAAAATATATATATGTATACAAAGACACAGCAAACATAGAATAGCGGGAAAATACAGGATAAGTTACTTGCCTTGCCTGGTTTTTAGCAAATTCAAGTTGTGAGCAGAAAGCTTCTTTGATCTCCCCTTGTTACGATGTTGCTGGGAGATCCCTGTGTGTGTGAGTGTGAGTCAGAGTTTCTCTAACTCGCTTAAAAGTCTTCAAGGGTCCCTCTCAGGGGAAGGGGGGCTCTGACTACCCATTTTGGGAGTGGTCATTGGGGAACTCTACACTAAATTACTAGCTCATATCCCGTGATATGAACCATACAGTTGACCTGAGGACTGTGCACTTATTCTGGTTGGTTTGATAATGAGTGGGCTTACATAGTTTTTTGGGTGATAAAAATGACACCTCATTCAGACTGGAAATGGCTCCACTTCTCATGTCTTCCTGGTTGTCCCCCACACCATCTGCCAGGAGATAACCTTTGCCTCACAGGAATGCAGGGGGGATGTGAGGAGTGATTTGAGAAATGCCTCAGATAAACAGATAGAACACGAAAACGAGGGTTGAGGGGGAACTCCGCTCCAATTCTGATGAGCAAGTTTGCCACACCTCCCCCTTAAGTGGTTGCCAAGGAGTGAGCTACAAGTTCTCTCCTGACGCAACCGACATCTGTCCAGAGGTTCCTCTTGGGACGTCGTGGTACTGCTGTACGGCGGGAGAACCGAAGTCCGTCTGAACCGGAAGCCGTTCTCCCCAGCAGCACTGCTGGGCCGACCAAGTGAGTGGTCACGGGTGGGTACCAGTCGGGCTGTGGACATCCGAATCCCGTGGCAACTGCCAGGGTGCCCACCTGTCCACAAAACACTTTGGCTCAGGGGTGTCCTTTGCTAACATATTAATATGTAGCTTCTTATCAAGGTAGAGAAGAAGATTTCCCTCTCCTACCTTCTTCCTCAGGCTTAGGACTACATCTGGCCTGAAGGTAGTAGCGTCCGTGTGTACCGGAACCGGACAGGCGAATTCTGGGCCTCGCCCTCCCAGTGGTGTCCACAGGTACCTTCATCCAAGATGGACAGTCCTTGTTACCTGCTAGCATCCAGGACACCGGTTCCTCCAGTTTCCTGTCTGCCAGGTCAGTCACAGGCCCAGCTGAGCCATGATCATCGCATCCAGGCGTCTTACCGTAGCCAGCTGTACCTGCGACTGACGTAACCTGCTTCTTGGCCTGGGGAGCAGACCAGGCCTCAACTGCCTCGGTCTCCCCATGCCCAGACCTCTGGGGGTCTCTTCTTACTGATGGGTTCCTAAACTGAACCACTGACATGCCCCTCTGACAGTTACCCTTCTGGGCTGTCGGACTGGGCACAGGCGGTTTGTTCCCGCCTAGTGACAGGGGCGCAAGTGGCTCTTCCCAGACAGGGCTGAGCACCGCGAGGCCCCTACAGTGGACAATGGCACCCAGGTCCACTGTGCATTGCGGGCCACTCCTGACCGCAGGAGTGGCTGTCAGTGCCTTCTCAAACCCCAACTAGCTTTCCAAGGATTCAGGCAAGCCACATGGGGTAGTGAAGGCTGGCTCGTCTGGAGCTTGCTGGGTTAGAGATGGTGGCCCAGGCTCCTTGCTCAGGCCCATGATGGCAAAACAGTAGGCACCTTCCTTCGATGGCAGTGCCGCATGCCTCCTGGGCATGGGGTAACAAACAGTAGGCACCTTCCGGATGCTCCATTGCCTCATGGCTCCTGGGCATGGGGTAGGCCACAAACCCAGGGGTGGTGTTCAGTTTCCCAAGGCTCTCAGAAAGCCTGGTCATCGTATCCTGCTGCAGGACCGCGACCATTAGGACTGCCCAGACTCTAGCTGATCCCTGGATTCCTGACTGTGCCATTCCCTTTGCCTCTGTGGCCCAATCAGCCGCACCTTCTGAATCCAGACACCATCTATCGGAGGCCTGGGCAGCCGCTCCGGACCCCGAGTGCTAGGGAAGGGTGATTGGGTCTGGGCCCGGAGGCCCTCTCTCTGTAACCCAAGCATCAACCTTCCTTCCACTCGTAATCCAGGCCTGCTGCCTCTGACCTCTGTCTGTCTGCCTGTGAACACACCCTTGACAAGTGAAATTAACTGACAGGCTTTCAGGCTCCCAGCCCCCACTGACTAGGCCAGTCATTCTAGCCTCCTTGCTTGTTTGTTTACTCTCCTCAGCAGGGGGGCTCACACCTAGCCCTGGAATAAAATTTCCATCTGAATGGCTTTCCAGAGCAGTCTTCCCTGTGGGACTACAAAGCTCATTTAACTTATCTCTGAAGGTCCTTTGAGACTCACTTTTTAGGGCTGCCTGAAGTGTGAAACTGCAAGTCCCAGCCAGCTTACCTCTGAAGGTCCTTTGGGACTCACTTTTCAGGGCTGCCTGAAGTGGGGAACTACAAGTCCCAGCCAGCTGTGGTGTGCCTTCTTTAGCAGGGCAACTCACAGCTAGCGGGCCTCTGAAGCTCCGTTGGGAATCGCTTTTCAGTGCTGCCTGAGGCGTGGGACTACAAGTCTCAGCCAGCTGCCTAGTCCTATGCAAGGCCAACGGCTGGGCACTTATCAAGGCACAATCTTCTGAGCCTGGGCAAGGGACAGACCTATCCAGACAATCCCCTTGCTCAGCCTCCAGAGACTGTACCTCAGCCCCCAACACTGAAAACGCCTCCTTTGTTTCATCACAAATCTCATTGTTAGCATTACCAACATTGCCGTCAACAATACAAACATTATCAATGACATTCCTATCAATGCTACTAATATGACCCATGACATTCCTATCAATGCTACTGATATGACCCATGACATTCCTATCAATGCTACTGATATTATTACTGACATTCCAGACTGTATTCCCAATGTTGCTAACATTAGTAAGATCACCCTCAGTGTCACCACAACGATCCTCAAAAGTCATGTTCATAATATCAGGGACACATGAGTCCAATACCTCCCCAGGCCAGGGGATTTCTTCTGGTTCTCCAGCTAATGGAGACTCCTGCAGCCCCACACCATTCCCAGCCCCCTCCCTCTGTCCATCCACCGGTGGCCCAGACATTACCCCAATATCTGTCCCCAGTTCCTTGGCTGGTCCAGAGAGTTCCAGAGGGCCCTTCCGGGTCTTCTCGGCAGGAGCGTAATACAAAAGAAGAGTGCCTAGGTCAGCACCCAACAAAACAGGGGTGGGCAGTTTATCCGAGACCCCCACCTCCCTCATCCCCCTCCCCGCACCCCAATCTAGGAATACCTTTGCACAGGGTGTGCGTGAACGGGTCCCCCCAACTCCTGTGAGGGTCAGGAACTTTCCTGGGATGAGGTTCTGTGGCTCAATCAGCTCTGGCCGGATCAAAGTGACGTCTGCCCCGGTGTCCCCCGAAAACCAGTTGCAGACCGGTTGCCCACGGTAACGGGCTGCAAGTTGGCGAGGTTTACCCGCATCTTCCTGCGAACGAACAGCACAGAAGAAGAGTTGCTGGCCGGCTGGCCAGATGATGTCATCTGCTTCTGCTCAGGACACTGCGTCCTGAGATGTCCGGCTTTCCCACAGGTGAAACATCTGCGGGTGTCAGGCAGGAATGGCTTGGCTCCAAGCGCTGCAGGGTTGGGCGGAGGTGAAGCTTGACTCACCGAAGTGGGAGAGGTTGCTAGGGACGATTTCCCCCCTTTCCAGCTGTTTGGAGGAGCCTTGCGAGGTTCAGGCACTCGCGTGTGGACGAAGGTATCGGCCAGATCTGCTGCAGCTGTAGTAGATGCTGGCCCCCTCTCCAAGACGAACTGTCTGACGTCTGCTGGGCAAATGTGCAGGAGTTGATCTCGGATCATGAGATCCTCCAAAGATTCATAAGAATCAACTTTCAGTCCCTTAGTCCACTGTCGGAATGTGGTGCGTAAGCGACTTGCCACATCCGTGTAAGAGTCCCCAGGTCCTTTCTGCATGGACCTTGTCAGGGCTCCCAGGTATGACCAGAGGTGTGTGACTGACGCAGGGAAACGCAGACTTCAGATATGTGATAAACAATACAATTTATTAACACTAACCATACAAACATAAACGCAGTGCAATACTAAACATAATACAGTGCAAACAAACCAAACCAACCACCCACAGATAACAGTACATACAAGCAAGCGTCGTCAGGCAGGCCGGGTCAATATCAATTGGGCAGGTAGGTACAGGGGGAGCAAGCAGAGAATGGTCGGGGTCACAGGGCAGGTTCAGCAGGTAGCAAGCAGCGTAGTACAGAGGGTCAGGCAGAGGGATGGTCAGGGTCACAAGCCAGAGATCAAAACAGGTAACAAGCAGCGTAGTACAGAGGGTCAGGCAGAGGGACAGAAACAGGATGCAGGACAGATACAGGGCCCAGGACAAACACAACACCAAGGCAGAGTCTGTGGGTCTGGCCATCCCTTAAATACCCCAGCATCATCAGTTCCAGGTGTTAGCTGGCTGAAAAGGTTGAGTCTCTGATTGCTGGGAGCACCCGCTGGCCAGCCCTGGTACTGCAGATCAAAAGGCAGGTGAGTCCCACCATTGCTGGCCAGTCCATTCCTAACAGGTCCCCCCCCCCCCCCAAGGAGCGGCCTCAGGACGCTCCAAACAGTCCTAGCTGGGCAAAATGTTCCACCGCCCGGGTCTGGTAACTGGCGGGATATCAAAGACTGGCACACCGGGCAGGACTCCGGGCAGCGGCACACCGGGCTGGACTCCGGGCAGCGGCACACCGGGCTGGACTCCGGGCAGAGGCACATCGAGCAGAGGCACATCGGGCAGGACTCCGGGCAGAGGCACATCGGGCAGAGGCACATCGGGCAGGACTCCGGGCAGAGGCACATCGGGCAGGACTCCGGGCAGAGGCACATCGGGCAGGACTCCGGGCAGAGGCACATCGGGCAGGACTCCGGGCAGAGGCACATCGGGCAGGACTCCGGGCAGAGGCACATCGGGCAGGACTCCGGGCAGAGGCACATCGGGCAGGACTCCGGGCAGAGGCACATCGGATTACCAGGCGAAGCAGCAGGCAGCGGGCCCCCGGGCGGAGCAGCAGGCACCGGGCCCCCAGGCGGAGCAGCAGGCACCGGGCCCCCGGGTGGAGCAGCAGGCACCGGGCCCCCGGGCGGGGCGACCGGCGTCGGGCCCCCAGGCGGGGCGGCGGGCGCCGGGCCCCCAGGAGGGGCGACAGGCATCGGGCCCCCAGGCAGGGCGACAGGCATCGTGCCCCCAGGCGGGGCGACAGGCATCGTGCCCCCAGGCGGGGCGACAGGCATCGTGCCCCCAGGCGGAGCGGCGGGCGCCGGACCCCCAGGCGGAGCGACAGGTCTCGGGCTCTCAGGCGGAGCGGCGGGCGCCGGACCCCCAGATGGGAGCGACAGGTCTCGGGCCCTCAGGCGGAGCGGTGGGCGCCGGACCCCCAGGCGGAGCGACAGGTCTCGGGCCCTCAGGCGGAGCGGCGGGCGCCGGACCCCCAGGAGGAGCGACAGGTCTCGGGCCCTCAGGCGGAGCGGCGGGCGCCGGACCCCCAGGCGGAGCGACAGGTCTCGGGCCCTCAGGCGGAGCGGCGGGCGCCGGACCCCCAGGCGGAGCGACAGGTCTCGGGCCCTCAGGCGGAGCGGCGGGCGCCGGACCCCCAGGAGGAGCGACAGGTCTCGGGCCCTCAAGCGGAGCGGCGGGCGCCGGACCCCCAGGCGGAGCGACAGGTCTCGGACCCTCAGGCGGAGTGGCGGGCACCGGACCCCCAGGCGGAACGACAGGTCTCAGGCCCCCAGGCGGGGCGGCGGGCACCGAGTCACCAGGCACAACCGTGGGCTCCGAGTCAACTGGGATGACCGCTGGCACTGGGTCAGACATTGGATCGTCTGGCTGGACAGCGGGCATCGGGTCACCAGGCATCAGGTCATTTGGCTCGACAGCGGGCACCGCGTCATCTGGCAAGGCAGTGGGCTCCGAGTCAACAGGCACGACAGTGAGCACCGGGTCATCAGGTACCGGATTGTCTGGCTCGACAGCGGGCATCGGGTCACCAGGTATGACAGCGGGCACTGGGTCACCAGGCATCAGGTCATTTGGCTCGACAGCGGGCACCGGATCAGGTACCGGATCATCTGGATCAACAGCGGGCATCGAGTCAACTGGCCTAATAGGATCGTCAGGCTGGATCAGTTCATCATGCTGTGTAGAGGCATCAGGCTGAATGCCGGCGTCCGGCTGAGTAGAGGCTTCAGGCCGAGTAGAGGCTTCAGGCCGAGTAGAGGCTTCAGGCCGAGTAGAGGCATCAGGCCGAGTAGAGGCATCAGGCCGAGTAGAGGCTTCAGGCCGAGTAGAGGCTTCAGGCCGAGTAGAGGCATCAGGCCGAGTAGAGGCATCAGGCCGAGTAGAGGCTTCAGGCCGAGTAGAGGCATCAGGCTGAAGAGAGGCATCAGGCTGCATACAGGCATCAGGCTGCGTACCGGCATCAGGCTGAAGAGAGGCATCAGGCTGAGTAGAGGCATCAGGCTGAGTAGAGGCATCAGGCTGAGTAGAGGCTTCAGGCTGAGTAGAGGCTTCAGGCTGAGTAGAGGCTTCAGGCTGAGTAGAGGCTTCAGGCTGAGTAGAGGCTTCAGGCTGAGTAGAGGCTTCAGGCTGAGTAGAGGCTTCAGGCTGAGTAGAGGCTTCAGGCTGAACCACGGAAGGCAGGCTCACCGGTTTGGATACTGGCAGGATGGTATTGGTTGGAAAGAATTTTCGCTTTTTTCTGGTTTTAACTACTGGAGCACTGCAAGTAAACGCAGGTCTGCAAACGAATGGAGCAGCTGGAGACAGAGAAGAACTGGAGGATGGAACAGGAGAGGGAGCGGTTTGCTACAGAGGGCTCTTTTACAGGGTTAAAGGCAGGATAGGTGCAGCGAGTGGGAACAGGGTACTGACATGCGGTAGATAGCAGGGCAGGAGGAGCTGTTGGGAATGCAGGAATAGAGTTTTGAGGAAATAGATTAGAAGCAGGACTGGGTCTTTGTAAGCTGACTGAGGCTGGGTGCAACAAATCTGTCCATGTCTGCAGTATGGGTTGAACAAAGCTGAGCTTACACAAAGCCTGTCTGGTCAATGACTGCACTGCGTTTATACAATCTCTTAGTGTCTGTGGTGAACATGTGGAATAACGCTCCAGAAAGTAACCCACATCATCCTCTAATAACCACACCAGGGACTCTACCTGGTCTGCACTAAATGGTGGCAAAAATCATCCCTGCATTCGGGGAAACCAGATGAAACCAACTCAGCACAAACCTCAATCAAAGGCTGCACCTCAGAGAACTCTGTGCCCTGATCTACTAGAACATGAGCGAGCCGTATACATTCTAGCAGTTCATCCCGGGTATACTCCTTCAGAGTTTGATAAGCATACTCCCTGTCATCAAACACTAGCAGATATAAATATTCAACCTCATCCAGATCCATCCTTCCCATCAACAAGCCAAGATGGCTTCCCTGTGCAGCCACTTCTGGTCAGGATTGGCCTTGGTGTAATGTCAGGGCTCCCAGGTATGACCAGAGGTGTGTGACTGATGCAGGGAAACGCAGACTTCAGATATGTGATAAACAATACAATTTATTAACACTAACCATACAAACATAAACGCAGTGCAATACTAAACATAATACAGTGCAAACAAACCAAACCAAACCACCCACAGATAACAGTACATACAAGCAAGCGTCGTCAGGCAGGCCGGGTCAATATCAATTGGGCAGGTAGGTACAGGGGGAGCAAGCAGAGAATGGTCGGGGTCACAGGGCAGGTTCAGCAGGTAGCAAGCAGCGTAGTACAGAGGGTCAGGCAGAGGGATGGTCAGGGTCACAAGCCAGAGATCAAAACAGGTAACAAGCAGCGTAGTACAGAGGGTCAGGCAGAGGGACAGAAACAGGATGCAGGACAGATACAGGGCCCAGGACAAACACAACACCAAGGCAGAGTCTGTGGGTCTGGCCATCTCTTAAATACCCCAGCATCATCAGTTCCAGGTGTTAGCTGGCTGAAAGGTTGAGTCTCTGATTGCTGGGAGCACCCGCTGGCCAGCCCTGGTACTGCAGATCAAAAGGCAGGTGAGTCCCACCATTGCTGGCCAGTCCATTCGTCCTTTTCCATTGCGGGAAACTTGGCTGCGCCCACGGAAAGAGTGCCGTCCCTGTGATCTAGGGACCCGAGGTTCTGACCCGGTCGCTGCTGGAGCCTTGCCATCTCCATCTCGTGCCGACGATCAGCTTCCCTCTGCACCGCCTCTCTCTCAGCTTGGCGTTCCGCAGTTTCTCTGTCAGCCCGGCGTTCCGCAGCTTCTCTGTCAGCCGCTGCTTGGCGCTCTGCAGTTTCTCTGTCAGCCGCTGCTTGGCGTTCCATGAACCGCAGGTATGCCTCCAAATCTGTCTCCAGGAAGCGTTTTTTAGGGCCTCCTGCATCTGAGAAGAGTCTCTGCTGGTTACCGGCACCCACGTTGCTAGCGCACTCAGGCGGTGGTGTGACGTTAACCTTTGGTGATCCTCCAGTGTCAGTCTCTGTATGCCCATCCTGTGAGGCTGTCTCTGAACCACTGGCAATGTGGGTAATGGGAACCTCTCCATGTTCAAGTTCCCCCGAGTTTCTGATTTGCTCGGATATCATACTCCACTAGATCACTAATCAAATCTTCACGAGTTTTGCGACCGACGTCCAATCCCTCGTGAGGCACATTCAACTTTCAAATCAGCTTTGCTCATTTTCTCGTAATCTGCTTCACCCAGGCATAATTGCAAGCAAAGATAGAAGAAAAACGTAGGAAAAGAAGGAGCTGTTGCTATGTGTCTCTCTATACACACTATATATATAAAATAAAATATGCACCGCTTGTTTTCTAAGGACTGTTTCCACAAAGGTTACAATCCTTCAGTGCAGAGCCAACTTTTAACACTGCACTGAAGCTCTTACTGCAATTATCCCATGTACGCTGCCACCAATATGTCACGACCCGCGGTCGCCGCCACCAACAGGCGACAATCGCACAGCCGCGACTAACATCAGTAATATGTCACGCCCACGGCGTCAGACCCCAGACCTTCTCACCAAACTCGTGACCGAAGGGCCGGCCGATCCAAAACGCGCGTGTGACGCGCGTAACAAGGCCCCACCCAGCTGCACCCTACACAGCGATTGCCCAGCTAATGGACTACAATCGGTGCCGTGCAGCCTGGATGCGCTTGTTACTGGGTCAGGTTAGTTACGCAACTAACCCTATACTGCCACCACCACTTTTGTCGGAGACTGGGAAACTCCCGTTACTAAATATACACTATAATGATTGAAATATTGGTCTATATAGCACGGCCCGCGGACCTGCTATACAGAGATATACAAACAGTAGCGTCTCTTCAAAGGCAGGGATTCGTGAATTGCAAGTAAGCGCTTAGAAACAGTTTAACACTTTTCAGAAAGAAAGATTTATTACTAAAAGCATTGGATGCAAAATAAATATGTACAAAGAGATATCACAAAAATATATATATGTATACAAAGACACAGCAAACATAGAATAGCGGGAAATACAGGATAAGTTACTTGCCTTGCCTGGTTTTAGCAAATTCAAGTTGTGAGCAGAAAGCTTCTTTGATCTCCCCTTGTTACGATGTTGCTGGGAGATCCCTGTGTGTGTGTGAGTGTGTGAGTCAGAGTTTCTCTAACTCGCTTAAAAGTCTTCAAGGGTCCCTCTCAGGGGAAGGGGGGGCTCTGACTACCCATTTTGGGAGTTGTCATTGGGGAACTCTACACTAAATTACTAGCTCATATCCCGTGATATGAACCATACAGTTGACCTGAGGACTGTGCACTTATTCTGGTTGGTTTGATAATGAGTGGGCTTACATAGTTTTGGGTGATAAAAATGACACCTCATTCAGACTGGATGGCTCCACTTCTCATGTCTTCCTGGTTGTCCCCCACACCATCTGCCAGGAGATAACCTTTGCCTCACAGGAATGCAGGGGGGATGTGAGGAGTGATTTGAGAAATGCCTCAGATAAACAGATAGAACACGAAAACGAGGGTTGAGGGGGAACTCCGCTCCAATTCTGATGAGCAAGTTTGCCACAGTGTACCCCAAGGTTCAGTGTTGGGACTCTTACTTTTTAATTTATTTATAAACAATATAGGGTCTGAGATTAAAAATCCCATTTCAGTCTTTGCAGATGACACCAAGCTGTGCAGTGGTATAACGTCCTTACAGGATGTCTCCAACTTACAAGCCGACCTCAATGCTCTGTGTAATTGGGCAACGATGTGGCAAATGAGGTTTAATGTTGATAAATGTAAGGTTCTGCACTTGGGGGCTAAGAATATGCATGAATCATACAAACGGGGGGGGGGGGGTACAACTGGGGGAATCAATGGTGGAGAAGGATCTGGGAATTCTAGTAGATCACAGAAAGAGATATAATTTTACCCCTGGAAAAATTATTAGTAAGACCTCATGTGAAATATGCAGTTCAATTTTGGGCACCACTTCACAAAAAGAACATTGGGGAACTGGAGAAAGTACAGAGAAGGCAACCAAACTGACTAGAGGCATGGAGGAACTGAATTTATTCTCTCTTGAGAAAAGGAGATTAAGGGGGGATATGATCAACATTTATAAATACATCAGTGGTTCATATAGTGAACTCGGTGTAGAGTTATTCACCCTGAGGTCATCACAGAGGACAAGGGGACACTCTTTATGTCTGGAGGAAAAGAAATGTAATCTCCAAACATGGAAAGGTTGCTTCACAGTGAGAGCTGTGAAAATGTGGAATAGACTCCCACAAGAGTCGGTTCTGGCCAGCTCAGTGGATTGTTTTAAAAAAGGCCTGGACTCTTTCCTAGATACACAGAATATAACTGGATACTAACATTTATAGGTAAAGTTGATCCAGGGAATATCCGATTGCCTATCTTGGGATCAGGAAGGAATTTTTTCCCCTGCAGGAGCAAATTGGATCATGCTTTGCTGTTTTTTTTTGCCTTCCTCTGGATCAACTGTGGGTATAGGATCATATCTTTTTTTTGGTTGAACTGGATGGATTTTTGTCTTTTTTTCAGCCAGACTAACTATGTAACACCCTTTGCTCCCTTTCTAAACTAATTGCTATGGTACTTAACTTCATCCTAAAGGGGAAGTTACACTTTATGCCCCCCTCTGATGTAGTATATTGAATTGCATTGTAATGCATTCCTTCCTTTCCCAGCATGCGCGGGTCTTGGTCACTTGATTTTGTACAGGCGAATACTGTACTAATTACACGAAATTCTTTGTTCTGCTATTGTACAAGAAACATGTTCACGCTTCTCCCTTTCAGATAATATCACA